TGCCATCACCACCATCCATCTCCAGAACTTTTTCATGTGGTGAAACTGAAACTGCCCCCATTAAAACGCTAGACCCTTCATCCTCTCCCCCGACCCTGGTGACCACCGTTCTACTCTGACCTTAACTGTTCAAAGTACGCCATAGAAGTGGGCTTACACAGTATTTATCTTTTTGTGACTGGCTTATTTCACTTAAGTCCTTAAAGTTCATCTGTAGGCACGTGAGGTGAATAATACTCCCAATGGATACGCCCCACCTGGCTCATCCATCCACCCACCAGCGGACGCTCGGGTCGCCTCCGCCTGCTGGCTGCTGCCGTGAGCACGGCGCACAAATACCCCCGGAGACCCTGCTTTCAGTTCTCTCGGGTTTATACTCAGAGGTGGAATTGCTGGATCACATGGTAACTGTTTTTAATTGTTTGAGGAGTCACTGTACTGTTTTCAACCACAGCTATACCATCTTACATTCCTACCAAAAATGCACAAAGGTTCCTATTACTTCACATCCTCACCATTTATTATTTTGTTTTTACACACACACACACACACACAGGTATACCCGTATACATGTATTTACAGTAGCCTTCCGACTGGGTGTGAGGTGGCATCTCCCTGACTAGTGATGTGGAGCATCTTGTCACGGGCTTCTTGGCCATCTGTATCTTCTCTGGAGAAATGTCTAGGCAGCCCTCTGCCCCTTTTTGCATTGGGTTGTTTCTTCTTTGTTGAGTTTTAGGAGTTCTCTATTCTGGATATTGATCCCTTAGCAGATGTATCATTTGCAAATATTTGCTGCCATTGTGTGGGCTGCCCTTGTACTCTGGTGATAGCGTCTGGTGTACACAATTTAAAAAATTTTCATGAAGCCCAGTTTGTTTTTTCTGTTGTTGTCTGTACCTCTGGTGTCACACCCAAGAAGTCACTGCCAAGTCCAATGTCATAGGGTCTGTGCTCTTATGTTTTCTTCTAAGAGCTTTATAGTTTTAGGCCTTGCATTTAGGTCCTTGATCCATTTAATTTTTGTATATGGTTTTGGGTAAGCATCTAACTTTGTCCTTCTGCACGTGGATATGTAGTTTTTCTAGCACCATTTGTTGAAGACAGTCCTTTGCCCCTTAGATGGTCTTGGTACCCTTGTCAAAAAATCGTCTGACCACGTAGGTGCGTCTCTATTTGGGCTCTTGATTCTGCTGTATACTCACAAAAGATGGTCTGCAGACCTACCTCTCTTTGCCACTCTCCCCTTCCTGTTGTTCTGATACTCTAGCTGCTTCTGTCTCCTGCCTTCCAGCTACAGAAAGATCTCTTGGTCATCAGGCCTTGCTGGAGGCAGGCCGGCAGGCCAGCTGTGCAAATCCCCAACCACAAACATAAACAGGTCATGACTGTCCGTGCTGGGGGTCCTGGAGAGAGCACGCACCTCCCAGGGCCTGCACAAACAAGGAATGACCTTCTGGAAGGCTCTGGCCTCAGTGACCTCACTCCTGATGCCTAGCTTCTAGAACCCAGTGAAATCAGTAGCAGACACACTGCCCACTCCAACACTGGTTTCCAGGGATGAGGGGACTTGCAGCTTCAGCTCCAACCAGGCCCCAGGGCTGTTATGAAGTTGACAGTGACTTGAACAGGGCACCATGATGAATTGAGACTGAGAGGACAAAGCCGGGTGGAGGTCCCTGGCTCTGCCCATTACTTCGCTGCCCCGCCTCCTGGTGGACGGCCCAGGTCAGAGGTCAGCTTGGGGGCCTAACTGGCTCCTGCAGGAGGGCCTGGCCCTGGGGTGGAGGTGGGCCCTACTGCGCGTTCTCCCTGGGAACCTGCAACTCCCCCCTGCCGGCCTGGTGGCGGCTGCAGTGTCAGCTGGGTGAGCAGGGGGGCGCTGTGTGCTTGGAAGCGCCTCTTCCTGCCGGCCCAGTCCTCCGCAGACAGCTTCCAGGAGAGGCGGGCAGAGGATGGGCAGACTTGGGTGTTTCTGACCTCACAGTGTCTCTCACTGGGTGGGTCCCGGTAAGAGTCCCTGTTGGCCAGCTCTCCAGGTGCACACGCAGCGCCCAGCCAGTCCCCTTGCCGGCCCCAAGTACCCTCACCTATAACCTGGGGAGGGGTCAGTGGGAGCCGGCTGGGAGCCAGGTGGGGAAGGGAACTGGGCCACCCAGACCCTGACCCAACACCAGTGAGTCTCGGATCCCACAAGTAGAGGAACGAGTGGTTACTCGGGGACCCCCTAGGGGTCCTGACATCTGTAGGTGGGGGGGCAGCCACTCGGGCTGGAGCAGCAGGCCGCGCGCCCCCATGGCCTCCTGTGAGCCTCCCTGTGACAGGGGAGGGCTGCTGACCATAGCCCAGGGCATGGCGTTGAGTCACAGCTGGGAGGCAGAGGGCCGGGCCCACAGTGGCTCCTGGAGCCTGCATGCTCCCTGTCCCTCAGGAGTCCCTCTGAAGCAGCACTATGTCCTGAGCCAGGCCTTCTCCTGGAAGAGCGGACGGCGGCTGGGAGGGGCTGGTGGCCGAAGCTCCAGGTCAGGTCTGCTGGGGCAAAGCCTGTCCCTCGGCCCTGACCTGCTGCTCACCCTGGGCCCCCGCCCAGGCCCGGAAGGAGGGTTTCCTGGTTTGGGGCTGGTTCCCTTCCACACACAATGCACTTCGGGCTGGCCTGGCCCTGCCTAGTCCAGAAGCTGCTGCTCTGGGAGGAGGGAGGCTCCCCTCAAAGGCTGCCCTACCACGTGCCTGACATCCTTTTACCTGTTACCCGTCTGTGAGGTGGGCCTGCAGGATGGTGCTGGGGAACGGGCAGGGGCTGCTGCACGCAGACACTGACCAAACACCCTGGCCTCTGTCACCGGCTTGGGCAGCCAGAATGGGGCCCTGGACAAGACTGGTGTGGTTACAGTACAGTTTTCAGACACCAACCCTGGAAATCAAATCAAGCCATTTGACGTGGGGCCACAACATACAAACAACGATGGTGGTGACGGTGATGGTGATAGCTGGCACGCTGAGGGTCTCCCGAGCGCCACGCGTCCCGAGCACTGCACTCGCCCCAGCCCTGCAGTGTGGCTCTATGACCATCGTCCCCGCTTCGTACGTGGGAGGAAGAGGCAGCTAAGTAGTTTGTCCGAGGTCATTCATCTAAGAGGCAGAGAGATAGGACACACTGCCTACAACCCTAACATGAATGATCCTGGCGTTCAAGGTTATCTAGAGCACTTGGGGAGTGGAGTGGGGTCAGGAATAAGCATTATGTGCTGGTGTAGACACAGGGGCACTTGGAGACCATGACTGAGACCAACAGCTGCTTTTCTGGGCCCCTGGATCTGGAAGAATGTCTCAGCTTGACCATGTCTTCAAATGCTAGGTCCTCCTGCCCCGTACCGCCTTCAGCCCACCCTCTCTGGCCTTTTCCCAATCTGGAGCCCCCACAGTAAGCTCAACCAGCAATGTATCCCACAGGTAAGGGGCCAGAGAGCAGGGCCACGGGCAGGGAGCAGACAGGCGAGCCCTGCTTTGGGACCCTCCAAGGGTGGTATGCAGAGCCAGATGCCGCTCTTGGAGCCCCTGTAGTAGCTCCTGGGGACACTGGAGGTGGCACGAAGGGACATCTCTCCCTAGGCTCCAACACCTAGCAGCCTGCTGCTCCAGCCCGAGTGGCTGCACCCCCACCTACAGATGTCAGGACCCCGAGAGGGTCCCCGAGGAACCACTCGTTCCTCTACTTGTGGGATCTGAGACTTTGGACAGCATTTCTTGAGGGGCTCATGCAGATTTCATGGGCTCAAGGGGGTGGGGCACCAAGTTCCCATTTGAAGAACTTGGCTTTGGGACCCCACCCTAAGGGAAAGGACCCTGTGATGCCATGTGTGTGTGCCCACGTGCCCTATAAAGAAGTGTTTTTATTGTGACACACATAAAATCTACCATTTTAATCATTTGTAAGTGTACAGTTCAATAGCATTAAATATATTATGTGCCATCACCACCATCCATCTCCAGAACTTTTTCATGTGGTGAAACTGAAACTGCCCCCATTAAAACGCTAGACCCTTCATCCTCTCCCCCGACCCTGGTGACCACCGTTCTACTCTGACCTTAACTGTTCAAAGTACGCCATAGAAGTGGGCTTACACAGTATTTATCTTTTTGTGACTGGCTTATTTCACTTAAGTCCTTAAAGTTCATCTGTAGGCACGTGAGGTGAATAATACTCCCAATGGATACGCCCCACCTGGCTCATCCATCCACCCACCAGCGGACGCTCGGGTCGCCTCCGCCTGCTGGCTGCTGCCGTGAGCACGGCGCACAAATACCCCCGGAGACCCTGCTTTCAGTTCTCTCGGGTTTATACTCAGAGGTGGAATTGCTGGATCACATGGTAACTGTTTTTAATTGTTTGAGGAGTCACTGTACTGTTTTCAACCACAGCTATACCATCTTACATTCCTACCAAAAATGCACAAAGGTTCCTATTACTTCACATCCTCACCATTTATTATTTTGTTTTTACACACACACACACACACACAGGTATACCCGTATACATGTATTTACAGTAGCCTTCCGACTGGGTGTGAGGTGGCATCTCCCTGACTAGTGATGTGGAGCATCTTGTCACGGGCTTCTTGGCCATCTGTATCTTCTCTGGAGAAATGTCTAGGCAGCCCTCTGCCCCTTTTTGCATTGGGTTCTTTCTTCTTTGTTGAATTTTAGTTCTCCATTCTGTATATTGATCCCTTAGCAGATGTATCATTTGCAAATATTTGCTGCCATTGTGTGGGCTGCCCTTGTACTCTGGTGATAGCGTCTGGTGTACACAATTTAAAAAATTTTCATGAAGCCCAGTTTGTTTTTTCTGTTGTTGTCTGTACCTCTGGTGTCACACCCAAGAAGTCACTGCCAAGTCCAATGTCATAGGGTCTGTGCTCTTATGTTTTCTTCTAAGAGCTTTATAGTTTTAGGCCTTGCATTTAGGTCCTTGATCCATTTAATTTTTGTATATGGTTTTGGGTAAGCATCTAACTTTGTCCTTCTGCACGTGGATATGTAGTTTTTCTAGCACCATTTGTTGAAGACAGTCCTTTGCCCCTTAGATGGTCTTGGTACCCTTGTCAAAAAATCGTCTGACCACGTAGGTGCGTCTCTATTTGGGCTCTTGATTCTGCTGTATACTCACAAAAGATGGTCTGCAGACCTACCTCTCTTTGCCACTCTCCCCTTCCTGTTGTTCTGATACTCTAGCTGCTTCTGTCTCCTGCCTTCCAGCTACAGAAAGATCTCTTGGTCATCAGGCCTTGCTGGAGGCAGGCCGGCAGGCCAGCTGTGCAAATCCCCAACCACAAACATAAACAGGTCATGACTGTCCGTGCTGGGGGTCCTGGAGAGAGCACGCACCTCCCAGGGCCTGCACAAACAAGGAATGACCTTCTGGAAGGCTCTGGCCTCAGTGACCTCACTCCTGATGCCTAGCTTCTAGAACCCAGTGGAATCAGTAGCAGACACACTGCCCACTCCAACACTGGTTTCCAGGGATGAGGGGACTTGCAGCTTCAGCTCCAACCAGGCCCCAGGGCTGTTATGAAGTTGACAGTGACTTGAACAGGGCACCATGTGGCCAGACTAACAGGGATTGTTTGCACAGACACTCAACTTTGGGCACTTATGTGCAGTCCCACAGTGTGAGTGGACTGAGCCCTAGGAGAGTCCTTACCTGCGCAGCCTGACGCAGACTTGGGTCAGGAAGTGACGTCGGAGTGTGGACTTGGTGGATGAGGAAGGCTTGCCAGGCAAAGGGGCAGTTGGGTTTCCCAGGCTCCCGTTTCTGAAGGCCCAACTCTGTGCAGCCCCTGTGTAGAAGGCAGGATGTACCTGGTCTCAAGCCCATGCTCAAAGGGCTGGTGTCTCATCTGGACGAAGTCCAGCCAGACGTTTAAGCTGAGGGCCTGCCTTGCAGTCCAGAAATGTGGGGCAGGGGACTCCAAGACCCTCTGCAGTCAGGGATTTTTGTATTATCTTCAGTAATGGACCCTTGGCACTGAGAATGCGCCTGGCAATGTGGAGGAATGGAGCGGGTGACTGGGAGAGGAAGGGGGAAGAGGCACCTGGGGAGCGGGGGGTGATGCGGGGCAAAGGCTGGGTTTGCCCTGGTTCTGCCGGCTGCCTCGGCCAAGGTCATCCCTGCCCGTGGGCTGGTTTCTGTACCCCAGCGCCGGTGCTGTGGCTCCCCCTGGGGCTCCGCCTTGCCCGCGGGCCTTGGTCTCTGCGCCTCTCCGCTGTGTCCTCGGAGTGGGTCCAGGCCGGGGTCTGCGCCGCAGCGCGGTGGCGGACGCCTCTGCTCGTCCCCAAGGCAGTCTGGGCCCGCACCACGTGGGCCCGCGCCGCTGCCCCGCCGGCGCTCCGAGCCTCTCCCTGGGCCGGAGCGAACGCCTTCCAAGCGCCCGGGGCCGCCCTGCGCCGAGCTGCGGCCTCGCCCCCTCGGCCCTGGGCGGGACCTCACGTTTGCGGGGACGCGAACCCGGGCGCCGCGCGACCAAGTAGCCGCCGGTTCCGGCGCCGCAGCCCCTTCCCCCAAACACCGCCCAAGCCCCGCCCCCGGGCCCCTGCCCACCCGGAGCCCCGCCCCTGCAGCCCCTCCCGGCACCGCTTCCCGGCCCGCGGCCCCGCCGGAAGCGGAAGTGAGTCGGAGGGAGCGGCGCGGGGCGGGAGGGATCCAAACTGACCTGCCGCGGCACGCCGGGACCCGGAAGCACTCGCGGAGGCCACGCCCCGCCCGGCAAAATCGCTGCCGGGGGAGGCGGCATTTCCTTTCTGCCCTCGCGCTCGTCGTGGTTTCTCCAGGTGGGTGCGCGGCGGGCGGGTCAGGGGCGCGGGGTCAGGGTGCGGAGGGGACGCGGCGCGCGGTTGGGGAGCGTCGAGGAGGACGCGGCCGTCCTCACGGCCCGTGGGTCCCGCAGGCCCGCCCTCGACATGCAGAACGACGCCGGCGAGTTCGTGGACCTGTACGTGCCGCGGAAATGGTGAGCCCCGCCCCGCCCGCCCCGGCCCCGGCCCCGTTCCCGCGCCCTCCCCGCTCATTGCGCTCCCCCGCAGCTCCGCCAGCAACCGCATCATCGGCGCCAAGGACCACGCGTCCATCCAGATGAACGTGGCCGAGGTGAGCCGGGCGGGAGGGCGCGAGGCCTGGGTTCGCCGGGTGGCGGGTCCCAAAGCCCGGGGGTGGCGCTGAGGGCGCTCGGGCGCTCTGACTCCTCACTCTGGATTCCTAGGTTGACAAAGCGACAGGCAGGTTCAACGGCCAGTTTAAAACCTACGCCATCTGTGGGGCCATTCGCAGGATGGTGAGTGTCCCTGCGCTGTGTCCCCCAGGCGGGTGTTCGAGCGGAGCGGTGCCTGCCCCCCTTGCCTCAGGCCTGCGTGGATCTGTTGGCAGACAAACTGGACTGGACAGTGCTGGCTGCCTACCCCATGGTGGGGGTAAAAAGGGGGTGCTTGGGGGGCCTTTCCCTTGGGGTTGCAGGTGTGTCGGGTCCCATAGGCAGGTGTGAGGCTGTGTTACAGACGTCTGCCCGTGGCCAGCCCACCTCCGCTCAGTTGGGGCTGCCTCGCGGCTGGACCTCTGCCAGTTCGGGGCAGCAGGGAGAGAGCCCCAACGTGATCTTTTCTAGGGTGAGTCAGATGACTCCATCCTTCGACTGGCCAAGGCTGATGGCATCGTCTCAAAGTAAGAGGGCTTGTATTGGGGCAGAGGCCTGGGGCTTCTCTAGAAGTACAGTGTGAACATTGTCCTTTCGTTCTAGGAACTTCTGACGAAAGATGCCCACATATATGGAAGATCTGTCATAAATAAATAAAGCCCACCCGTGTTGGATTGCTCATTGTGTGCCTACAGCATGTTCCTCTGGGATGAGGAAGGTCAGGGCTGACATCTTGCTGTGAGTGGTTGAGAGGGAGGGGCTGGCCCCCCAAAAGGAGGCAAACTGAAGATATTTGTTGCAAAACCACATTTTACTTAAAAGCACACAGTACTGCAGACACATGATATAAACGACTGACATTGAGGTCGGAGTGGCTCACACACATAAATCCACAACTGTGGTACTGAGTGGGTGGCACTGGGCCCTGGATGCCCCTGTTGTCTGGGCCTATTCTAGAGGATGAGGTTTGGCTGAAGTTTGGCTTAAATACTGGCTTTGCTGCAGTGATTGGAGCACCACAGTGGCAGCCTTGACATCTTTTAAAAGAATGTGGGAAGGCTACAAATAAGTTTGGTAAATATGAACTGAATATGCACACTTAAGTCACTATCAGCTGTCCCTCCAACACCTACAGAATTTCCTCAGGAGAGGTGACTTGAAGCTAAGCTGGAAACCAGGATATCCTGGCAGTCAGTCCCTTGCAGTGTTTTTAACAAGAGAAGAATCTTTGAGATGCTGAGGGGGCAGGACAGGTGGCTTTCAAGAGTTGCCTGGGGCCCTAGCAGCATGTGTTCCACCGCAGACACACGTGGGGGGGAGGGGCCATCTAGGCGAGGACAGGGAAGTATCCCACGATAAGGGCAGCCCAGGCAGTGTGCTGGTGTGTCGGCTGTGATGAGCAGGACTGGGGGCTCCTTTCTGTGAAGACACCAGTCTGCATGGACAGTACAGCGCGAGGCGGTCCCAGAGCCCTGCAGTGATGTTTGCAGGACAGTGGTAGGGAAGCAGCTTCATGGCCCAGCCAACACGGTCATTTTCAAGATCATCTGACTAACAGGAAAACAGTCCTTGGTGGCTAAGTGTTCTGATGGAGTGACAAGCTGGACAACTGCACAACACAATTCGTGCAGGAAACACACAAACCTGGGAAAGCTGAGCAAGCCTGATGGGCTGGGCACAGAAGTGATGGCTACAGGCTGTAGTGGCCAGACCGACTGCCAGCTTCTACTTCCTGCCTAGGAAGAAAAAGGCGTGGACACTGAGTCTCCTAGGGAGACGGTTGGTGTGGCGGCTGTGGTCAGTATCCCTGCTCGGGTTAAGTGTGGTTTCAGGCCACAACTTAAGCAGACCTGATTTGACCAGGTTTTGTACCCTTAAAAAACCCACAGAATCAAATCCCAAATGACAATATGCTGTTTTTCTCCAAGTATTGCTTATAAAGATCAAGAGCAAGCAATCCAGTCACGCTGACAGTCCAGTGCTGCAGGAAGGCAGCTTTCCTGTGGGAGGGGTGGAGGACAGGCCTCTTGGGCAGGCTGGTGCCCTGCCGAGGAGCCTGTTGGTGTGCATGGCGACATCAGGATTTCACAGTGACACAATACACAGTACAGAGGTCCAAGAGCGAAGAGAATCAACCCGGAGTTGATTTGGCTGAACCTGATGCCACTGCCCTGCCTGTGGACGGCCCGTTGGGGTGCTGCGGTGGCAACCCAGGGGTCTGGCTGGGCTGGGAGGGAGCAGGCCAAGGGGCAGGCTGGGGGCATGCATTCCACAGTGCTGAGTTTCTCCATCTGAAAAGCCAAGATTAATGCTTCAGTACGTTCACTTCAGCAGTTTCAGGTGCTCAGTAAGACATGGAACCCGGATCACTGTCTCAAATTTCACCCAGTGGTTGTGAGGGTTTGGGGAGACAAGGTGAAGCCAGGAGGGAGAGGGAGCTATGTGGTCAGGCTCACCCCTGCATGCGCCGGAGAACGACAACCCCCCGTTCTCTTCACGTTAAGGGTGCAGGAAGGTTCTCAGAAATACTGTGGCGGTGTGTGCGTTGCGGGATGAAAGCAGCGCCCTCCTCGGAAGCAATGTCTAGTGCTGTGCACCTCCGTGCCCGGGAACACCCCCTCGGGCTCACAGACGCGCGTGGGTGCGCAGGGCAGCCTGGCAGCATGGCCCCTGCCCGCCGAGCAGAGGCCAGCCTCGGCTAGAACTGCTGCGTGAGGCGTCTGTAGTGAGGTAGCACCTGGTTCTCGGGAAGGTAGAGTGCAAGCTCCAAGGCCACGAGCACCGTGAACTCGAACCCGATGAGGTCCCGTCTGTTGAACCGAAACCTTTCTTCTAACTTCTGCGCTGAAAAGAGAAGGTAAGTGGCGCTCCGCCCTGCCTCCCATCTGGGATAAGACTGCCACCCCACTGGTGCTGCCGGGCCAAGGCCAGCCTGGGGCCCCAGCCCTGGGGCGGTGTGGGGGCCTCTGGCTGGGACGCAGCACTCACATCGATGAGCTGCTTCACTTCCCCCCTGCGGAGGTCACTGCTGATCTTGGCGGCAAGAAGCACGCAGGCGCCGGCGCACAGCTTGCGGTTCTGCTTGGTGAGCTTGCCCTGGAGGACAAGCTTCTCGAAGTACACGTAGGCCATGGACACCGTCACGGGCTCCAGGCTGCACTCCTCAGACAGGTTCCGCATCTCCCGCTTCAGACTGTGGGTTCACACGGAGGCCTCGTGCTCTGGGGCTGAGCAGCAGGCACCGTTTCCTCCAGACTGGCAGGGCCCAGTGCCTGGGCCTGCACTGGGTGGGCAGGCAGGCTGCTCTTGGCCTCCCTTGCCCGTTGGCTGGGGCCCGTGGCAACCCTCCGACTGTACTGGGTGGTCCCCACTGTCCTCAAGGACAGAGTTCCTGCTCTCCTGTGGCAGTGCCAGGGGACAGTGTGGGCGGACTAAGGTGGTGCCTGGGCTGTCAGCAAAGCCCTGTTGCCACTGGGGGATGGTTAGCAGGACACAGCAGGGCAGGACCCCAGAGCAAGGCAGCGATGGCCAGCCTCCACTGGGCCAGGCTGCCTGGAGTCCCTACTGGGGGCCTGAGCTGGCCGCCTCAGCCCTCCACTTCCTCATCTGTCAGCCAGGGCTGCCCCGTCCATCAGTGGGAGGGACCCAGTAGGTGTGGTCAGATGGCAGGGGCTGGGAGGGCCTGGATCTGTCTAGCCCAGGAATCACTGGAAATGGGAGAGGAGAAGCCCATGGCCTTGGGGATGACCCATCATGGCAGAGGGACTGGTATACCTGTGGCCCTCCTCACCTCCTGATCTTGCTCAGCGTCAGCTTGATGTGCGGGAGCTTCTCCCGGAAGGTCTCATTCATGTCCTTCTTGAGGTCAGAGGGCTTCACGTACTCTATCACCGTGGTCTGTGAGTCATAAGGCCGCAGGCTGGGAGCCGCCACTGGGGGCAGCTCCACGTTGGCCTAGGCAAAGGTGGGCGCCTGGGGGCCGCCAAGAGGCCCCAGATCTGCCAGGACAGTGTGCCTGAGACACAAGGCTAAGACGGGGGCTGCCAAGCACTGGGCCGAGGGCAGGACTGACCCAGGGCTGTGTGGTTGGGGCCCCAGGGTGGGCATGTCAGTCCTGCCCTGGCAGCTTACCCACAGCCCAACCCTAGACACTTGGTGGGTGGGTGTGGCTGGGGTGGCGGGGCCAGCATACCATGTAGGACGCAAAGATGAGGACCCGCTTGTGCTTGCCGCAGGGCCACTGGGGGTCGTCTAGGAGGTTAGGGTCGTATTCCAGGGCATCTCCCCCGTCACTCCCTGTGGGCAGAGCACAGCCTCGGCTCATCACAAGCCCTGAGCTCCACTCACCTGGTTTTGCTGACCCAAGCCTCAGCCAGAACCCATCCAGCCCCCAGGGGTCATCTCAAAACAAAGGCCCTGGCACCCCTGGGGTCCGGGAGGGGCCCCCAGGGTCATCTGTGGACACAGGTTCTCTCCACCGCCTGCTCAGGTGAGGCACAGGCTGGGGGCTGTCGAGGCCCCCCTTCTCTCCTGAGAGGCTGGCCCCAGCCCTGACGCCGCTCCCGGAGCCCCACTCCACGTGCACTGAGGACCTTGGGCTCGAACGTGACTCTGGTCTGCCTGCCACGTGGTGCCTCTGGACCCCTCCATGTGGTCAGGGTGTGTGGGCTACCTAGCTCTGGGCCGGCTGGTGCTGGCTTCGTGGGGGCAGGTTTGTGTCTTGGCCCTAGCAGAGCCCGGGGGATGCTGGGCCGGGCCTGGGGCGGCAGGCTGTGGCCGTCGGTCTTGTGTGCGACCAGGGCGTTGGTAGGGTACAGGAACTTGGCATAGGACACAACCTGGAGAGGCAAGCACGGGGACCTCAGTCCTGCTCATCCAGGCCCCACGGCCCCTGTGCCAGAACAGGGGCAGAGCAAACTGCTTCACTCCTTGCTGGCGCAGGGCGGCCCCTAGAGGCTCCCCCTACTTGGGCAGGAAGAAGCCACTGCAGCCGGAGCCCCTGTGCACGGACGCCCCTCGCAGCCCCGGGCTGGCACTGCTCACGGAACCTACTGCCCCAGTAACATCATCATTCCGAAACACACCCCTGGTCTGGGATCTCCGGCACAGGAATGTCCTCCCTGCCTCTGAAGCCCTGCCCTGTGACCACCGGGGCAGAGGAGGCCCCTGGGCACCCTCACAGCTCGGGTGGTTCCGTTACCCGGCTGCTGGGAAGTCCGTCAGGCCTGATTTTGCAGGCTGTGTGTCTTCCTCTCATGCACACCTTGCATTTTAGATGACAGCGAAACAACCTCTTGCGCTGCTGCCTCGGTAACCATGAGCTCTGTGCCCACCCCCCGCCCGGCCGCGTACAGCCCGGGCTCTTGCCTTTCCATCAGCTCCCAGCTCCACACCTTCCAGCTCAAAGACCATCTCTGAAGAGACGGAAACGCCACCAGATGGGTGCCTCTGCTTCTGGCTGTCCACCCTCAGGTCACTGCAACAGACACAGCGGTTGGGAGCAGAGCCTCTGGGGCTGGCACCCCCATGCCTGCCCACTTGAGGACACGTGCTCTGCCAGAGGGATGCCCTGGGAGGTTCCTGCCTCAAGCCCATGGCCACGTGCTGGGCCAGCTTGGCTCAGGTCACACTGGGCAGGTTTCCCTCCTGACTTTATGTCCCCACCCTGATGGCCATTCTTATATATAGCTAGGCATGGGGCACAGTTGCCTGGACTGGTCCAGATGCACAGCAGCAATGCCCCAGGAGGACCAACCCAGGTGCCACCACCCCCACCTGAGAACCACGCCCAGGGTCCTCAGAGCTCCCAGCAGCTTCAGTGGGGGTTGGCCTACTGATACCCCCCTCCTCCCCGCCTCTGTGAGCTTGCTAGGTCCGCACCTGACCCGCAGGCCTTCTCCATAGGGCAGGACAGAGAAGGCTGCACACAGGGACCGCTTGGCGCAAATCAGCACAATTCTGCAGAGAGGGTGGGGTCAGAACAGGGCGCAGGCACTCCAGGGCGGATCCCTCCTGCCTGGACTCAGGTGGGAACAGCTCCAGGTGTTCAGGGGACTCTGGGGTTGCAGCCCAGTGGCCGGGTCCTGTTAGCTGGCCACCCCAGCTCTCGCCGGCTCCCCCCAGGTGCCCATAAGGGTGTGCCGTCCTGTTGGTGAGTGTGTCCCCCTGTATGCAATGTGCTGCACACAAAGGTCTCCCCTGGCCCCAGGCAGGCCAGGTGAAGGCCAGCGGTTGGGGTTGTAGGTCACCAGACCGGCTTGGCTTAGAGGACACAGAGGCATGTGCCCAGAGGAACAATCGGGTCAGGGGGCCTGTCCTCTGCCATCCTGGAGAGGTGGGGGCCTCATAGCCTCAAAAGGTGCCCAGTTCTGTGTACTTAGCCTAAGTGGCCCCTGAGGTGCCCCTGCGTGGGAGAATGCTGCAGGGATGGCCTCTCCCCCACCGGACCGGAGCCCTGGTCCAGCAGGAACAGTGGTGGACACCCTTTCTCTGGTGGGGGCCACTGCACAAGCCCCACACTCAGGCCTGCCTGGGGCCTGGTCCCTGGCAGCAGGCAGACCCCTCATGCGAACAGCCGTGCCCGGGCAGTGGGGGTTCTGGGACTGGCTGCTGCTAGGAAGACAGAGCCCCCGAGTAGGGCTGCGGGTAGACTGGAGCACAGCCTCCAGCGGGAAGGGGCCCAGTCTGGGGGTCCTCTGGGTCAGATGCTTCAGGGCCGGCAGGGTGGGCATGGGGGACAGTGGGGGTGGCCCTGCCTTGAGGCCCCCATCCAGCACCTACAGACACAGAGCCTGGGAGGGCACTCCCTGGGGGGCTGCCACATCTCGGCCATTAGTGCAGCCTCTGCCCTGTGCTTCCCAAATAAAACCAAGCCCTTCCCTCCTGGACACCACCCATCACTGCAGCACTCCAGTCAAGGCCAGTGACACCTGGGCTTTTCCGCCAGGTGTCAGGGAGGGACTCGTGCTGGGTGAATATGGGGAAGGTGGGTCCACTTCTGAAGGGACGTGGGATGGGCTGTGGCCCTGAGCTTGGTGTACTGAGAGGGAGAGCCATGGACAAGGGGGAGCCGTGGCCCTGCCAGGTTTGTGGGAGGCCTCAGGGCACAGGGGTGCGGGCACCGGACCGACCCCAGGCCTCCGGCGGTCGTGTGCTCGCAGCGCCCACCAGCTACCTGCTGCTCCTGGTGTCATACTGCCGCATGTTCCGGATGAAGTGCATCTTCTTCAGGCCCTTGTGTCTTGGGGATCCGGATATGTGTTTAGCTCTGCAAGGCAGAAACAGGCCACTCTTCCCTGCTGGGCCCTTCTGGCCCCCAAGGGGAAGGGTGGCGTGGGAGGGGCACAGGGCCTTTGACCGGCAGGCCCCTTACCTTTGACCCGAGGCACATCCCACCGTGTCTTCCAGAAACTCCAGGGAGCAGCGCTGGGAGGTGACACGCCTCCTGTGAAGGAGACACTGAGGCCTCAGAGCAGACCCAGAGGCACCTGGGAGGGCCCTTGCTCTGAGCCCAGACCGTGGGGCCATGCTTGGACCCACAGCCACACCCCTGGGTTTCTCAGGCAACGTGGTCCTCACTGGCCTTCGGCCAGGTCATCCTTGGGCAGCCACCCAATAGCAGAGTTTGCCAAAACAATCTGAGTGGAGCCCTGGAGCTGGGGGGCGGTGGCTGGTGGCACCCCAGAGCCTGGCCCTGTGGGTCCCGAGCCCTCTCAGGCCCAGGATCAGTGCAGCAGGCTGTGGGCACGATGAGACTTCTGGAAGGTCCCTTGCAGGCTGGAGAGACCTGGTTGGAGCCCCTAGAAGGGGCACGTAGGCCAGACAGGTCCAGTTGTGGCTCTGCAGCTCCTGGGACTGGCCCAAGTCTGCCAACCCCTCCCCGACCCGGCTGTGCTGACAGCTCTGTCCCCGTCCTGCCCACACTGATGGTCGCCACCCCACCTGTGGCAGGAGCAGCTGGGGGTGTGGCCTGGGATGGCCAAGATGAGCAGGGGTGCCCAGCGCACACGGCCTCCTCCTGGCCTGGGCCCCACTCCCCACCGTGGCCCTCGTGGGGAAACATGTCCCTCCGTCTGAAACACTCTCTCCAGATCTCCCGCGGCAGCCTCCTCCCGACTTCAGGTTCTGTTCCTGGGCTGCCCACACTCCCTCTGGGGCACACACCAGCTGTGATGTGACAGTGCTCGGGGCATGTGTGTACCGCTGTGCATGTGCCTTCCGCCCACTCGTACTCACCTGCCCTCCCACCTCCTGGGCATCAGAGGAGCCGGCGGACCCCCTCCCACCAACAGCCCCGCCTCCGGACTGGCCAGGATGCTCCCCTTGGACTGCTGCTCGTCATGCAGTGACAGGGAGAAAGATGTTCCCTGACTCGTGGCTTATCAGCAAACACTTTTAGTAGGTCTGAATTAGGCATCAGCACTGAGCAGGGTCTCAATAAATGCTCTGCCCAAAGAGGGGTGTTATGGCTGCACAGTCAGGGGTGCGGGAGTCTATGTGGAAGGCCCATGGCTGCGGTGATGGAGTCAGCAGCTCCCTGGGAGGGGCACACATGGCCTCGGCTCAGACCTGGGGGCAGAGCCCAGAAGCCCGAAATGTGCTGACAGCCTGGTGGGTGTGGGTCCTTAGTGCCCACAGAAGGTGACCAAGGACTGGCCATTTGATGACATTAAGGGGTTCCTACTGGTCTTTGGAGGTGTGATCACAGTGCTGTGCTTGTCCTAGAAACAAACTGAATTCAAAGATGAGCTGTTTGGGGCTGATTAGAAACCAGCCCAAGAAGGGCACACCTGAGCCAGCAGCCCTGGGGAGCTCGGGACAGCGGCCTCCCACCCCACGCTGGGGGCTTCTCAAGCCTGAAGGCTTAGAAACCCTGGCGGGCTGCACCCTCGGGTCAAGATCACAAAGCCAGGTGAACGGCACCAAGGCCACCTCTGGTCACTTGTCAGCCTCCTGGTCCTGAGGGCCAACAGTCATGCCTCACTGTGAGGGCTGCTTACGACAGAGTCCTGAGGCCGGGCCCTGCTATCCCCACACTTCCCAGAGGAGGAGGCTCCCAGGGGCCGAGGCCACCTGTGCCAGTGCTGACTGCACACATGTCCCCAAGAGGCTCAGCACCTGCCCAAGCCCCACAGCTGTGGCCGACCCGGGGGCTCCCAAGGCTGGCACCTTGGCGCCCAAGTCCATGCTCTGTTTACGTCTTTTAAATGACAAAAGCAACAAGAACTGGTTGAAAGTACAACTGAACACAGGACTAACTCCAGTGAAATACTGGTGTCCTGCAGTGGCCCCATCTCCCAAGAGGAGCTGTCTGCCCACCCACCACAGCTTGTAATGGGGGGCACAGCTGGGCCAGAGGGGGTACACTTGGAGATGATGGGAGTGGGCAGGTGGGTCAGGTAAGGGGGCCCAGGGAATGGCCAGGATGGTGGTGGTAGAGGCCAAGGGGATGAACAGGGGCCCCTGTCTGCTCAGAGGGCAGCAGGTGGGCATGCTGGGCAGATTCCCTGAGTTCTAAGAGGCCCAGGCCAGAGGCTGGCTGATGCAGCAGGCCTTGCTCTGGGAGGACAGCCAGCTGGAGGTGGCCGTGTACTGCCCCACAGGGCTGGGCTGAGGCCCATGGCAGAACCCCAGTGGCTCGCTCAGGCTCATGTCCTCAGGTGACCTCCCAGGTGATGCCCGATGGCTCCTGCAGGCCTGGCACCTCATCCGCAGGGCCCAGGACATGGCCAAGGCAGCACGCACACTGCCCGGTGGCTCGGCACCCTGCGGCCTGGTCCACTCTCCCCGTTCATTTTGGGCTGCAGAAGAGCGATGCCCTGAGCTCGCTGAGCCTATGACTAGCCGGGCCCTCCACGCGGTTCCCTTCTGCCTGCCCCTCCTCGGTAGATGTTTATGTGTAAAATCGATCCTCACAGCTCCGCAGGAGGGCAGGACAGTCACCTTCCATTCACAGGTGGCCAAATCGAGGCACAGAGGCGACTCACAGAGCAGGTAGGAGGTGGAGCTGGGGCCTGCAGCGGGTTCTGTTCCCAGCCTCCCTGCTGCCCTCCTGATGTCGGGTGGGCGGGGATCAAGGCCGCCCATGCACTGTTTCCTCAGGCGCTCCTTGTGTCAACACGACCTCTGTTCCCGGCGATGCCGTCGGGTCTGGGTGCAAAGCCTGTCACGGCGCCAGCACGGCGCCCGAGTTCTGGGCTGCAGGGCCGGCCGGCCCGGGGAGGCGATGCTGCTTTCGGCCCTCCTCCTCTTCCTGCCCGGCGCCCTGCTCGGCCACTCCGGGCACAGCCAGAATCCTAATGCTGACCACGCACCCACCCGGGCCCCCCAGAAATGCATCCAGCAGCTGTACCTGGGACAGCCCCCACTGGAAGGCAAGCGGAGGACACCCCGCTTGCAGCAGCAGGGCCCCCAGCATGCGTACAGCTGCAGAGTGCTCGGGGTGGCTCCCTTCTACCCACTGATGGAGCTGGGAGTCTCAGTGTGGGGTGCTGCCAGAAGGCCTGGGGAGGGGTGTGTATATCCTGGACTGGTGGCCCCTGGTGTGTGTACCCCGTGAATGCAGTGCACCAGACACTCTGGTTAAACATGCTGGACACAAGTACAAGGAACAAACCGAGCTGTCCATCACCTCAGCTAGTGTCCCCTGCCCCATCTCTGGGTGTCTGGGCAAAGAGTCACCCCTGAGTCCAGGAAGCCTTTGCTGCTGGGCCACGTTCAAGTTGCACGGGATGGCGTCTACTGGCCATTTTGTGCCCCCCGTGTGGCAGCCACTGGCCCAAGGCTGCCTGCATTGGACTCTTTGGGAAGAAAGGGCCAGAGGCCTGGCGTGGCTGTCAAGAGGGCACAGGTGATCCCTGCATTTACTGCTCGCCCCCCTGGCTCCCTCTCAGAACTGCCCCTCTCTGGCACAGCAACCCACTTCCCTCCCCTCCAGAAAAGCTCCTGCAGATAGGAAGAGAAGTTGCTATTTCATGAACATTGTTTCCAGTGTCTGATAGGTTTCCTTCACTTTTTAACTGCAGCATCTCGGAGGAGGAGCTCCTGTCTGAGGTCTGGAGGCCGTCCAAACCAAGTAAGGGGCTGGGTGAAGGGCCTGCCACGCACGGATCAGACGCCCTGAGGGCGGGCCAGCCCCAGCAAGCGGCCTCCTGTCTGTGTCCACTGGCTGCAGCATGGTGCAATGAGGGTCCCCTCGGGCTGACGTCTGCCCACACTTGAGCAGAGTGCCTGGCACAGGCCTGTCCAATGAGTGCGTGGTCCTAGATTCCCTGCATGCCAAGTCCCTGCCAGGCAAAACACAACCCCAGATTCCAGCCGACTCCTCCGAGAGGCCCTCAGCAACTCCAGTGCTGGGACCCAACGTGTGGTCCCCGGGGACCCAGCCTCGGTCTCAGCAAGGCCTCTGGGCCACGGCTTGGCAATGAACCTCTAGCCACCAACCATCCAACCATCTGCAGCTGCTTCCCACCTGGAAGGCAACAGATCCCCAATCAAGAGCTGTGAACAGATGGCCAGATGCTATGCTGCACTACTTGGTTAACTGGGCCAGGTGCTCAGCGGCTTTAGAACCGTAGGCGGCTCCCGGCCAAGGGTGCAGCTGAAATCCCAGGTTCTTTCTCAGACTGTCCCCACGCAAACTCTCCAGGACTGCACGGGTATCTGCCGGGCCTCCCACGGGCCTTCCAGGAGAGGACAGAGGCACCAAGGTGACGGTGGAGCAGGGCAGCAGCCTGGCAAAGTCCACCAGGCGGAGAAGCTCAGAAACCTGGCCTGCTGGTAAGCATCAAGTGACCACGATGTTGAAATGAAAATAAACACTGTTAGAAGTACCAGAAAAAAAATCAAGATTCCGACAATGAGCTCGTTGGCTAAGCAGAAAAGGCCTCGGCGGACGGAGCCCTGATTCCCGGATGTGGACTGAGCCACGGGCAAGCACTCCGGGCAACTGGGCTGTAGCCAAGAGTCTCTACTCACCCAACCCTGGCCCTTGCTGCCCCTCGTGGGGCCCCCAACTTCCTCTGACCTCAGCCCCTGACAAGAGCCCCTCAGGCAGATAGTGACCAACGCAAACCATTTCACAGAGGAGCAATCCAAGGCTCGAGGGGCCGCGCCACCTGTCACAGAGCTGCTGAGTGACAGAGCTAGGCTACAGCCAGGCCTGTTCTTAGCAAAGCCTGGGTCAGATCACTGCACTCACAATACACACCTGGGCAGAGACCCCATGAATTCTCTCCATTCCTAAAAACAGGCCAAGCAGGGGGGACCCGAGGGCCCGACTCATACGGCATCCTGTCCTGCCCCAGGGCCCTCCCAAGCCCAGGCTGCAGCACACGCACTCCTCAGAAACTGACAGCGGTGGGGCACCCATGTACGCCATGGCCACACAGGGCTCCGGGCAGGGGTCTTCATGGCACCCATGCCCCAGTGCCCCCGCTGGCATGGCCCCGCAGCAGGCTGCCAGCCCGTCTTGCTCATGGGGCCTGGCCCACAGCCGGATGCCCCACTGTCTGCTGAGTGGACGGCCTAAAGGGACGCACATTCTGCCCAGCGCTCACACGTGCCTGAGGGAGAGGAGGCTGTGTGTGTCAGATGGCTGTCAGCCAAACACAAGCAGGCTTTGGGGCTCTGTTTTTAAAATGGGCTGATTTCCACCCACAGAATTGTTTTTTCTTAATATCAGTCTTTTCTTCTCTAAGCAGTTCCACCTCTCCAGGAGCGTTACGCCTGGCAGCCACATTCTAGGCAGACGGAGCCCTTGGCCCCAATCCACCCACAACCATCTCTGGGGCCTCAGCCAGGCCTGGTTGTGTCCAGGGTCAGGCCCACAGGCCCTCCTGGCCTGACCCACAGTTGGGAGTGTAACAGTGGCCTAATCCTCATGCTGCTCACACCTCTGAACACAGTGTCAAGAGCTCTGGCAACAAAGCGCCATGTTCTAGACTCAGCTCCCCTAACCAGAGACCCCCTGAAGGACCGAGGGCAGGGGTGTGAGGCAACTGCGGCCAGCGCCCCTGAGATGACCTCAGGTAGGAAGAGTCGCCTTTGACACCAGGATGCCTGAGGGGCAGGGCTCTGCATGCAGCCCCTCCCTTCACACCCATCAGGCCTGCCTCTGAGTGAGCCTAGCCCTCGGCTCTGACTGCTCACAAAAGGGCAAGCAGTGGCCTTTGAGAAGGGACCGCAGCAAGCAGCCAGTCCTGGCTCCTGGGCCCAGGAACCCAGTCACTTCTCAGGGTGAAGGGGCGGATGGGGAACAGCCCCAGGGGCCAGAGGAAGGGGCCAAAGAGGCAGTGTCACCTGGCGGCCACTGCTCACGGGCACTGGAAGCTGCAGTTTGGAGGTGGCTGTGAAAGGGCATCAGGGGGGTACCAGTGCCAGCAGCCTTGGTGCGGTGCACTGGGAAGTCTGGCGTGGTGCAGAAGACCCCGTGCCTAGATGTCACACGGGGGAGTCACCCGGCTCAGGGTATACAGGGAGATGTGTAAGGGGTGTGTGCGAGTCCTGTGCCTAGGGGACTGACAGAAGTGGGCTGGGGAGAGGTGTGTCCAGAGCTGACGGGGCTGTCAGGGTTCTCTGAAGGAACCTTGACCCCATATTCAGGGACTGGCAGAATTAAGGAGACCATGATCCCTCTGTCTGGGGACTGGCCAGGCCTGAGGAAACCTTGACATCCCTGTGCAGCGCCCCAGGTGACCCCTCACCCTGACATCTTAGGCTGATGTCCCCTTTCTGGGCTGGCAAGGCCCAGGGCATCCCAACCTTGTGTCTGGGGCTTACAAGGGAGAGGGTCACCTTCTGACCCCCAGGTCTTATGCTGACAGGCCACTCCCACCCCATCCCCTGGGCTGACCCAGGTGTCCCTGATCCCCAAGTCTGTGCAGACGGGGCCCTGACCCACCCTGCCGTCCCCTGGGCTGATGACTCCCAGGTCACCCTGACCCTATGTAGGCCATCCCAACTCCATGTTATGAGCTGACCCGGCCCAGGGACACCTGCCTGCTGTCCATGGCACTGGCGTTCCTAGGTCACCGCGACCCCAGCACGGGCTGTCTGCCCCCCAGGCCACCTTGCCTAGGCTCTGGGCTGCCGTTGCCCAGCCCCCCCACGTCACCCTGACCCCTGGGTCCTGGGCTCTCTTCTCCTCAGGACGCCTTGCCCTGGCCCTGGGCTGACGTCCAGCGTCATTCCGTCCGTGCCCTAACCCGGCCCAGGCCGCCCTCGGCCCCACTCACCTCTGGCGCTGCCCTTCCAGCCCCAGTCCCAGTCCCAGGCTGGCGGGCGCGGGCGCGGGCGCGGGACTGAGCAGGCCCTGGGGCGCCGAGGCCCGGCCAGCGGGCAGCCCCGGCAGGCCGGCCGGGGGCGCGGGCTCGGGCCCCAGGGGCCCCGGCGGCGGCGGCGGCGGCGGCGGCGGCGGCAGCTCACGGGCCTCGGCGGGCGGCGGCGGCGGCGGCGAGGGCTTCTCGCCGCCCAGGCCCAGGCTGGGGGGCCGTCCGTCCAGGGAGATGTTATTGAGAAAGAAGAGCGCGGCCTGGCGGCGCCGCGAGTCTCCGCGCCTCCGCAGCGCCTGCAGCGGGGCCCTGACGGCGGGCCCGGAGCCTGGACTGGCGGGCGGCGGGGCCTTGGTGGGGCCGGGGGCCGGGCCCGGGGCTCCACCCGCCGCGGCCGCGGCCATCCTCCGACTGCGCCCGCCGCCGCCGCCGCCGCCCGCGCACGCGCACGCGCGCACCGCCCATTGGCCGCGGCGCGCCCACCCGCAGAGGCTGCGCCGTCGCGCCCGCCCATTGGCCAGCGCGGCGCTGCGGGTGGGCCTCCGGCTCGCGGACGGCGCCCTGAGTCCTGGGGGAGGTTTGGCCGCGGCCCGGGAGAGCCGCCGCCGTCCGCGCTTTCCCCCGCCAGCCTGGCCGAGGGCTGGCTGGGGCCGAGCGGCGGCGGCGGCGGCGGCGGCGCCCGGGTTCGAGCCGCTGTTCCCCTCGCTGGCCCGCAGCCCCGTCCGACCCGTCTTTGGGCCCCAGCACACTTCCCCTCGGGGTGTGTCTTGCGGGGCTGGGGTGCGGGGGCTGAAGCTGGGTGGCCCTTTGGTTTACAAAGGGCAGTTCGCTCGAGGAGCCCCGGGCTCCCGAAAATGGTCGGCGGGCCACCTGGCCTCCCTCGCTGGCTGAAGAAGGGACGAGGATCTGAGGGGAGAGGGCACCTGCCTGGGATCGCAGGAAGCTTGGGACAGTGCTGGGCTTCAGCTCCAGGCAGAGTCCTGCTCGTCCCTCTGCAGCAAAGTGACCCTGAGCCCGAGTGGGGCCTAGGCCTGTTTCCTCTTCTGTACCCAGGTCCCCCTGACTTCAGAGCTGGTGGCATGAAGCTTAGGTGCCACTTTCTGGAGCCCACCTGTATCTTTGGGGGACAGGGTCCTGCAGCCACCTCTGTGCCACTTGTCTGCTCTCCAGCCTTCTGCCTGGGAACGTGATTTGGACCTCAGGGTACTGTCAGGTTTACGCTCACTCAGGAAGGGGACGTCACCAGTGCCAGGGGCACTGTGTGCCAGAGACCCGGCACTAGCCGGTCGGCTGCCCACACACTGCTTCGGTGTGTAGCTACTTACTGTTCTCACTCATCCTGCATCTCTTATGTGTAGGGGTGGACAGGGGATGGGGTGGGCACACAGCCCAGGCCTGCAAGCTCCTGCTTAATGGGTATTGACCCAATATGACAATGGGTGAGCGTTTTCCATCGCAAGCGCAGTGAACTGTTGTGGTCAGTTGGGGCTCTCAGCCCCTCACCGTGCTGTCTGCTGTGTGATGACGGAGCTGGTCCTGCAGCTGCTTCTCCTTTGCCAACTAGCACTGTGTCAAGCTCTGTGGGTTCCCCTGGTGAGGACTGTGGTCATCATCCCTGTCTGTGCGCTCCGTCGTTGGGCTTCTGTCCCACGTGGCTTCCCCACCACCCTTGTTGGAGATGGATGCTCAGGGGCCAAACCTGGCCTGCAAGCCAGATGTGAATGGAGCACACAGCTTTGTTTTATTTGATTTCAGGAAAATGAAAGCAACCTTTAACGATGGGGAGATTTTTCACACACACTCGTGTGCGCATACACACATGCACCCCTGGACTTGCCCTCTTGGGAATTTAGTCCCTCTGGTCTGTTGAGCCAGGGCAGGTGGGCTGTGGGGAGCAAGGTGGGGGCCCTACCCCAGTCTGCCGCAGGCTTCTGCTGGCCCAGTCACTGCCCTGCGCCCTGCGTTTGTTCTGGAGGGCCGATTCTTAAACCTCACGTGCTTAGGAGTTACCATTGGGAGATCCCCAGTCCTACCTGAAGATCCGGATTCAGTGGGCCGGGGTGGGGCCCAGGGACCTGTTTAAGGTCCTCCCATGGAGGCGCTCCTAAAGTGACAGTGGCTGGGGGAGCAGGTCCCTGAGTGCAGAGGGTGGAGTCCGGAGTGAGCTGCCCTGGGGTCTTGCAGATGGCTGGCTGGCTGGTGAGGGCAGATATGGGGCAAGGGACTCAGGAGTGTCAGTGAGGAGGGGGCTGTGTGCCGGCTGGTGCCCATTCTCGGTTCTGTTCCCTGTGGCCCTCCCAGTGTGCCCTGCTCCTTGTAACCCACAGCAAACGGGCCTGGTTTTGTTCCTGCCCTTCTGAAAGAGAGTGACGTCCCCGTTCTTGGATGCATTCAAGAGCCTCTTCAGTCGCCTGGCCAGGCAGGCATAGGCCGCACCTGCTGTCCTTCTGCACACTTCTGTTCTTGGGGACCCTCTCTGAGGGCGCCAGCCCACGAGCCTTCCTCTGCTCTCACCCCTGGCACCTATTCGTGGGACTCCACGAGAGGGCGCCCGAGACCGCCACTGGGGCTCCGTGCCCCATCAGGGAAGGGGTGGCCAGGTGGGCAGGATCCCAGGAGTCGGACACAGGTGGAGTCTGGGATGGTCAGAGGTGGGGACGCTGCGCAGGAGGGGCTTTCTGGGTGCAGCAGGGATCGGGCTGGGCTGGGCTGGGGCCTGAGCAACCCGTGCCCCCAGACCCCTAGTTCTTCCAAGGGAGCAGATGCTGGAGTGAGGATCAGGTGGCAGGGACAGTGGGCCATTTCTGAGATGGGTGGAGATAGAAGGGTTCGAAAGACCAGCCAAAGACCCTATATCAGCCTTCCCAGGCCCTCTGGACGTGGGCCAGGACCCAGTCCCTTCCTGCCCTGTGCTGCTGCTGGCATGGTTTGTTGTGGCCGTGGGCACTCGGGTGGGGAGCCATGTCTGGGCAGTCTGTTCCCCCTGGGCAGGGCCTGCTAGGTCTCCTCCCAGCTGCTGCTGCTGGGTGAGGGGCTGCTGTCCTCAGGGTCTCCTGGGCTCCCAGGCCCCACCATCGGGGGCTCCCCGGGGCTCCTTCTCCCTTGGGAGAGCTTCTTGGAGGCTGTGGAAAGTGGGCTGTGGTTAGGCTGGGAGGGCGGCTCTGCAGTGGGCTGGGGGTGCTTGTGTGTCCTCCACCTCGGTGACGCTGGGCTCTCACCCAGGGCCTCAAGGGGAGTCTCTGGGCATAGGGAACTGGGCGCTTGAGCACCACACTGGCAAAGTCGGCTTGTTGCTGACAGCAGTGGACGTTGCAGCAGGGGCAGCCCAGCTGGAGGGTGAGCCGTGGGAATTTGACGGAAGGGAGGGCCCTCTCCTCAGCCTGCAGACAGCCTGGCCCTGGCGCCTCCCTCGCTGCAGAGGGCACGGGACATTCTGGATAAACCAGGCTTTTGGGCAGCCACCCTCAGAATCCCCCAGACACTGGTGGTGGGCCTCCCTGGGCCCTGTTCCCACTGGCCTGGCCTGAGTGGGAGGATGGGGATGTGGGGGGCAGGCTTGGTTTAGTTGGGGGGTGGGGTGGACACTGGCACCCTATGGACTGTGCCTACTAGTCACTTTCCAAATATGCCCCAGAGGAAGTGCCTCACAATGAGGCAGGTGTGCTGGCCTCCTCCCCCTTACCCGAGCAAACACAATCCGCGGTCACCTTCCCAGCTACAATGGCATACAGTGGCAGCCACAGCCCAGCCTGCCATGTCGTGGGCCTGCTTGGACAAACACCAGGGTGGCATCCATTATTAGCTCAGGCGTTCAAAGGCTTTTATGGCGCCTGGAGGCCTGGCTGGCTGAGCTGCCATTGTGGCCAGAGCAGGAAATGCGGGGGTCATCCTGATATCCTCAGGCCAGGGCCCGATGCCCTGTGGCCCTACTGGGGGACGACCACAGGCCCTACCCTTGGCAAACAGTTGAGCAGCCCCTAACTGCCCCAGCAGGAGCAAGCACACCCCACACCCCGAGGGCTGCACCCTTTCTGCTGCTCCTCTTTGAAGGTAGACAAGGGGGTCCAGGAGTCCCCGCTCCCTACTCCCTGGTGGGACTGGGAGAGAGGCAGGGGTTTAGGACCACTGGGCCTGGGGCCTGCTTGCAGGCCAGGACATCCCTTGTCCCCCAGGGAGAAGATGGTGACTGCCCAGTCCCATCCCACTGAAATCTGACAGTAGCTCTGTTGTCACCCCCTTTCTTGGGGGAGACCCTGGCTCTGGTTGAAGGGGCTGGCCTGGCTTCACAGAGAGGCTGTAGGGTCAGGGTGCATGCACGCCTGACTCTGGGGTACCCTCTTAAGGGGCCTGTGCCAGGAGAGATTGGAGGGCTGGTTTCTGAGCTCCAAGCAGCCGGAAAGGTGAGGTGGGGGGTGCTGTGCCCCCACCCCACTCCACCCCTGCCTGCCTGGAGGCCTCACCTTTGCCCCTCAGGTCTGAGGCCTGCTTCCTCTTCCGTTGCAGGCCCTGCTCCTTGGCGCAGAAGCACGTGGGCCTGTCCCCTGGTGTGCGCCGAGTGGACCCTGCCTCCTCCGAGCTCAGGGCCACCTGAGGGGTGTGGGGGTATGGTCAGGGTGAGGACCCTCCCCCCAGGCTGGGGCAGCCCCGGGACAATGGACCCCTCCCAGCGTGTGTGCGTGGGACCCACCTCACTGTCCGGAGTGCCTGGCTCGTCCACCTCGTCTGACTCCTGCTGCTGTGCTTCAACCTTGCTGAGCTCTGCAGGATGCAGGGTGAGGGTGAGGCCAGGTCTGTGGCCCGGGAGTCTAGCAGAAGTCCAGGCCTCCCTGGCCTGCCGGACTAGACAACTCTGCAGATAAGGAGACTGCCAAACGACCTGCCCTACGGTCAAACCCAGGCCCGGGTCTCCAGTGCCCGTATGACCCCACCAGCTGGGATGTTGCTGTGTGACAGGGAACTGGACTCTCTGTCCTCAAGCCCTGACTGCCAGGAAGCTCTTCACTGCCTGCGGTCACAGATGTGCCGCCCTGGGTCCCCACCCCCCTTCTGGGTCTGCAGTGGGGGGACTCAAGACCTAGACCCAGGTTTGGCCAGTCAGGCCCAGGTGGGATAGGTCCCCTGACTGGACACTGACCACTGCACTTCCCTCCCTCTTAGGGCCCTGCTTCCTGCTTCTCGTGACCCCGGGAGCTCACCCTTACCTCGGCGGCCATTGGCATCAGGCCTCTGTGAGCAGGGGTGTGGTTCTGGCCTCCCGCTCACCTCATCTCCCATCCTGCTTGGAGAGGGCAGACTGCGGTAGGGCCCTGGGACAGTGTGCGGGGGGTCCTGGGGAAACAGGTGGCTGGAGTCCATCTGCTGCGTCTGCCTCCTCGCCAACCCAGCCTTGGGTGCAGCCTGGGGGACCCTGGCTGGGGCT